ACCCACCGAGCAGTTTAATCATGCTTACACAGCACAATACGGCTAAGCGTATTAGCATAGCGGAATAAGACGGAAATTCGCCTGTCGCAGCTGAACAGTAAACAATGATCACCCGAACTTCACTACAAGCTCCACTATAGGTGCGGAGCTTCGCTACAAATCGGCCACCTCAGTGATGAACTCCGATTCCCGGAATTTCACCCGGAGACCACACCCCTCTGCGGTGTGCAGTCTCTCCCACCCTTCGAACTGTCTGTCCCGGGTGCGGCACTGACGTCAGACTCGCTGGGCCTGGCAGCGACGAACGGCGGCGTACGGCTCAGCATAGCAAGCAGCCGGCGCGCGACCCGGTCGTGGCTGCATGGGGCCGGTCTCGGCCAACAAGACTCGGCGGGAAGTCACGACACCAAACAGGTATCGCGGGGTGTGTTTGTGGAAACGGGTCGGCACACTCCGCTAGCCTCGTCGTGCCGGTTTAAAGCAGACGCCCAACCACACCGTCGCGTCGGGTCAAACCATTGTCTACTTCATAAAGGTCAAATCAGAGGTGAAAAAAACCGGCTACTCGCCTGCGTGCGTAGGTGACAGCCATAGGAATAAGGAGACAGATTCGAGCATCTTAGTTAATGCACCTAAAATTGATAACTAGGCCGTTTCCGCTAAAATCAGAGCTGTCTTCCCATAGAGAGCCACTATGAACCACGGCACAAAAATTTAACAGCGTCATCTCTTTGTAGACAGCTGGGGCTGAAAAATCCCGCCGGTGCGACAGCCGGTGCGTTGTGAATCGCCATAGACAACGCAGGAAAAACGGCGACAGCGCGACAGCTCGTCCCCGCTCGTCGCCGGTTGAGCGGTGGCGGGGACCGGCGCGGCCTTGGCCACCGCTGGAGTAGGGGGAGGACCGGACGACTGGGACGGGGGACGTCACATCTGGGCCACAACTGGGGTGAGGTCCATGACCATCGGCCCCAGAAACTTTGTAGGAGCGTTGATAATTGGTTCTGACTACTGAAGCAAAGGCAAGTGAATCAGTGACAAAACTGACAATCCTTTCGTGAGTTCTGATTGAACTGGATCTGGAAGCCAGGAGCCAGGAGGAGCTAGAAAGTCGATCAGACCTTTAGGTAAGTTGGAAGAAAGTGATTGATTTTTTGTTGTTGTGTCACTGAAATGTGGTGATGCGTTGTAATGCCCAGAGGCCGAAATTTGGCCTTCAAAGGTGATGAGAAAACGAAAAAAAGGTACCTACTGTTTCAAGATGACTTGTAAAAAATTCGTGACAGCTAGACATCGCGTAGGTGACAGCTTTTGAGTTTTATTCACCTCTGGGTCAAATCAAGAAACCATTCGTGTGGAACACGCCTGTTGAATGCACACGCGAGTAGTGCTTCTTTGGATCACAAGGCTGCATGCCACCCTTTGTCCCCACTAACGAGTGAGTGACAATCGGCTCCGCGCCCTGACTGGCGGCCATCCCAAGTCTCGCGGCATGGGCGGTGTAAAACAGACGTGATTGTCCGCCCAGACCTTCATCGAACAGCTCTGAGGAGCCCGACAATCGCCCCAGACGGCGCCGACTTGGAGGTCCGCCCGTCATTCACCACCGCCGCCCCTGACACGCCCTAGGGAGGGCTGAGTAGCGCTCCGCCCCCGACGGCTTACTAAACCAGTTCCCGCCTGTGGGGCCTACATGAACACTGCACAGACTGCATTGTGCAGACATCGTGACAAAAACAAATTCATGAATCACATGAGGCAAACATTCGATACAAGAGACATGCATTTCTGTCAGTTTCAAACAAAGTACGTCTATCCAAGTATTATTTGATAATCCTCGATAAGACATGCCCATAAGAAAATTATCGCAGCTGCTGTTTGTCCTGTCTCGTACTGTGACAGGACAAATTTAGTCCCGATGGTTATAATAGATGGGCCACGCCTCGGCCTATTGAATTGATTTCGCTGCGTTTCCAATGATACCTTCAACAAGGACTTGTCGTACCTGGTACGCCAGTGTCAAGTCCCTGGCCCCACCACGCCCACCACTTTTTGGACTCTCCACACCTCTCCTGGTCGAGCAGCCCTGCAGCCGACATCCCGGCTGGTCGAGCACCCCTGGCTGTGACGCCGGGCTGGTCGGCCCCGTTACCAAACAAGGCCGCATTAGCATTGGGCGGGCGACGGTCCGGCCTGGCGGTGCAGTCACACGTAATTATCCGGGGCGGGGGGGGGGGGGGGACGGGATCAGATCAGCTGCGGGTCAATTCAGAGCGGGATTTCACCTGCCCTTGGAAAGGGGTGATGGGGGCTGACGGTGGTTAAAGGCAGATGACAAAGGGTCAGAGAGAACTTAAAGTTGTGGATTATTTTTGGCTAATTGACGATAGCGCACAATGGAAGTTGGAGAGAGGGAAAGCTTACAATATGTAGTCAGCATTGTATGTCAAGGTTAAATATGACTGCAATGTGACAGATGAGGGTTTTCTAAAGCTGGTACTGCTCCTGATTGAATGATAATGCGAAATAAATGAGTACCTAAATGGCAAACAAACGTTACTGTCAAATACAAAATAAATATCCCGTAAATAAATAAGTTCCGCAAGAAGATGGTAAGATGACGAATAGTTATTACACAGAAACAGCAGTTGCAGAGTCACCATCACTGAAGGAAACTTAAGCTTACCCTACCGTTTAAAAATGCACATATCTGCCTAACGTCAGGACATCATTCTCCCCAATACGCCTTCCTACGGCCCCACCACAACTCATGGCGCTCTCGATCCGCCTCGCTCAGTCACCCCCGCCACGTTTGGCGCTGTGCGTGACCCGGCCCAATGCATGCCGATGCCGCCAGTGAAAGTTGCGGGCTAGTCTGCCGCCCCGACCGCGGCCATGGCGGCGGGGTGGGGCGGCGGAGGCGGTAGGGTCGGTGGTAGGCGTGGGCGTAGACGGCTGGGGTAGTGGTGGTGCCCTCTGAAGGCAGGGCGTGGTGCCCTTGGAGTCTGTCACACATGAGAGACATCGACCACATGATCGGAATGCATACCAGAGTGCCCTTGCACCGAATAAACGGTAAGTAAGGTATGCGGGTCGATGGGATGGCGATTTCTTTAGATATGTGTGATACATTCTACGTATAGGTAAATCACATACTGCTATGGAAATGTGTGCAATGGCCAATGCGCATACCTAAATCAACAAAAATGAAGAGCTGAAGCAATGCGCTGGAAAGGGATAGGGATTCGGTTCCGTCAGGTCAGTCACTTCAGCGCCTTCTTGGAATTTGTAATGACCAATGATACGTATGTCTGTGGTTCCAAGGGTGGAATATTGAAGAAATGCTCTAAGGAGCCCCTTTACACGTGAAACAGAAGCTTATCAAGCGGAACTTTGCTTTGGGGCCTTGAGCGAAACTGTCTGCGAGTAGTTACGCATTTACAGGTCTGTTTCTTTTTATGGGATCACACGTTCCTTGATGCGTGTTAAACGGCGAAATAAGACAAAAGATGCCAACAAAACTTCTGTTATTGGATTTCGTTCGCTAATGTGTTAACTAAAGCTGCGACTTTTATTGGTGTGTGCAGCGAACCGTCTTAGAGTCGCCACGCTCCAAATACCAGCTAATCGGGCACGACGCGCAGCGAAGGGATTTCTCTGTTTGTATGGCAATTCCCTCCAAAATCTGGTCATGGGAATTGGAAAGTCGGCGATAGGCACGGAAAAGTTCACTACGCACAGGTGCAATTTGGACGCTCGACTGGTCGACATTTTTTGTGGTTCAACCGCCTTCTTTCCTGCACTGTATTAAGCCAAGAAATATTTAATGATACACTCGACCATGTTTATTTGAGAGTAGCTAATTGTATGTGGCATAAAAATAGCCGATGCTACATAGAAGTATTCGACTGCACTGCGAGCTTCTTATATGGGAAAACAATGCGAAGCTCTAATAATGCAGTTTTGCTTTTATAAAGTAAATAATCTAAGTTTATCGCCTTCAAAGCTGTGAACGAACCGACGTCTTATCCCAATCCCCATCCATAACACCAAAGCGGTCGGACTCCACGGACCTGTTCTGATAGGTCATTTACGCCGCTCGTTTAATTTCTCTGTTTTTTGTCAAAGTAATTAAATTTCAAATTTCCTGTAAGCACTGAGAAAAACTTAAATGTCTTGATGTTAATTAATGCTTAGCACAGACATAGAGAAGTTATCTTTTTTAACATATCATGAGCGTGGAGAATGAAACACATGAAATACATCTCGCAAACCAGAACAGCACATACCTACTCTCACGAGCGACATCTATCCTGCCGAGTTGCGTGCCGCCGAGCACATAGCCCTTGAGTCACTGGAGACTATACAGAACTGAACCACTTCAACTCGCGGCAACTTAGTTATCAGGGAGCTATCGGTAGCAATGAATACAAATGGTGAAACAGCTTATTCGTGGCATGGATGATTCGTTTTAATTCATATTCAATAACGGTGTGGAGCATGTTCTCAGGACAGTACTTGCATCCTTATACCATGAGAATGTTCCATAACGCACATGAAGTACACGCAAAATATCTGAATTACAATCTACAATATGAGGAAATAGTGGGAGATGCCCACAATTTGTAGCGGTTGTAGAACTTTATCGAAATATTCTCACGCATAAGGCAATTTCCCCCGCTTAGGAAAACCATTATTCAGAAGCCCCGTCTGAGTCTTCTTGTAGAGACGGCTTTTAAAATGGACAGACATGCACTAACACAAATAGGCAGAAGCGTTGAAACAGGTATCATGCTTACAATGGATGCATATGTTTTGTCGCTCAATGAAAAAAGCACTATCCACCACTGGGAAAGGTTACTGAAAATATATGACACATTCCTACGTAGTTGACTCATACTCTAGTGGTTTATCCGGATAACGTTGGGTTCTCATGGTAACCTCGGAGATGCACACTATCCGGGACTCGAAGGCACAATACAGTAGCACCCGGGACTGACCTGGCACGTCCTCGTCGTTGAACTTCATCTCGATCACGTGTTTCATGGCATAGTGTGGCACGAACGAGGCCATGAACCGCTGCTGGCCTAGGTCCTTGACGTACGAGGTCACGTGACCGCCGTTCACCAGAATCTCCAGGTTGCCGGCGCCGGCGCGGGAGCCATCAACTGAGGGGGGAGCAGAGGGGTTACGGGTCAGCTGTGAACCTTCCCTGTCGGTGCAGGATAATGTATCGAGGAGACGAGATAAAAATGCGAGGAAAGGATCAGACACGCTGAGAACGAGGTTAGCTGTAAATGAGCCATTGCATACTTTTTGAGAGCCTTAGTTTTGCAGGTATCGTATAACATGCCGCATTAATTTATTAAATTTACCTGGTATCACATGTGTAGCAATGAAGCGCTCGACATTTAACACACTATCCTTCAGCTCTTTCAGCCACCTATTTCAAAGTGACCACTCACCGACCACATCTTCATCTAACCCCTATCTTATCCCAGTCACTCCAGCGACTCACTCTCGAACTGCACTGGCCGCCCGACGGTGCCGTCGGGGATGGTGGCCACGCTGATCTGGGACGTGTCGTAGACGCTACTGACCAGTGGAGAGCCGGGCACCGGGTCACCGCGCAGCTCAATGTCCACCTCGTGGTCGCCGACCGTCTGAAATGGGGGGAGGGAGGGGGGGGGGGGGGTGAGAGGGTTGGCTGGGTGCCGGTATAGGGTGGATGGCCCTTACGGCTCCACTTAACTTGCTTATATATGATCAAACGAAAGCAGGTGAATTCAATTTCAATAAAATGTCAACGTAAAATGAGAAAATCCCTTCAACCAAAAGACAAACATTACAGTACGAGTATGAACGGTTAGGTGTAAGCCAGGAACAGTAAAGAGGGGTGATTTAGCATGACTTGGAAAATCAGACAAGAGTGCTTCTTCGCTTAGGTACCTGTGGCAGATATTTCAAGGCGAATTCGTCTCCAGACTTTGTAACAGTGCAAGGTACGCGTCGGTCTGACGGATCTGAGGGAAGAAACGGTATGTGAGATACAATCGGGAACAACGAATGGCTATGGCTTTCCGCTAGACGCGCTATATAATCGGAGACATTGCATAAATGCGAAAAGTGTATGATCTGAATAATGGCAACATTGTCATCCAGTGTCATTTGCGATATATCTAATGGCATGACTGACCGTTTATTGTAATCCATTATCCTGGATATAGAATTATAGACTGATACAGATTTACAGGGATCGAGACGACTGGGTTCAGTTTTACTGACCTCTGATAGTGACCCGTATGTCATGTTTGGCAGTGCCCGGCGGGCCCGTAATGAAGAACTCGGCGGGCCGTGACACGGGCACTGTGCGCAGACCGGCTCCGCGCACCGTGACGTCACCATGGGTGGTAGTGACGTCAGAGTGGACAGCTGACTGCAGCAGACGCGACGACGACTGCATCACCTGTAAACAGGAGACATTTGAGATCATTTAACTTCAGTCATTGATTGTGACTGAACGGAATGCTAGCTGCAAGTTGCAAACAGGATGTAGCTTTATAGCTTGTGAGCAAATGAAAAAAAAAATGTCACCTATTAGATCACTTGCGGCATTGCACATGATTACGTAGGGAAAAAAACTTTGAAAATTGTATACATATACTTCGGCTTGTTGCCACTCATTCTTATTGAGCTTCCAAGTTCCATCTTATCCTCGCCTCCTCACCTGTTCCTCGAGTCCTCGGAGCGACTCCGAGTGTCCCCTCACGGAGTCCGAGTGGCGCTCAAACTTCTCCGTCCTCTCGATGGTGGACCGGTCGATTGTAGACCGATCAATGGTAGAACGGTCAATAGTAGAACGGTCAATGGTAGAACGGTCAGTGGTGGATCGATCGATGGTAGAACGGTCATACGTGGAGCGGTCATGGGTTGAGCGATCCAGTGTGGATCTGTCGAGCGTGGATCTATCCAGAGTGGATCTGTCCAGCGTCCCAGACCGATCCAGCGTTCCAGAGCGGTCCAACGTCCCAGAGCGGTCCAGTGTCCCGCTCTTGTCCCTGTCTGCCCGCGGCACATGGATCTTCTCGGCTGATGATGGGTCGAAGTCGGGTCGCGCTGTAAAACGAGGGAGAGTGGCGTAAGCTGTTAGTCTAAGACTCAACAGTGTACTTAAATGAAAAGAATGAACCGTTAATTGCATGCCTGCATGCTTGCTGGGTCTTTCAACCCTAAAATTTGATTACTGGGTATACAAATGATCATATGTCCTTATTGTCATTTGAAAAGCTAGCAAACTTTATCAAGTAAAACGGCACCCACTCCAGACTGACCTGATTTGATGATGTGCTTGATGTGCGCAGCCGGGTCGTAGTCGTATTCGAACGAGGAATGGCTTCTGGAGCGATCTCGCACGTTCCATTCTGCGAGTTGGTAAAGACAAAATTTAATTAGGGCTTGTGCTTGTATGGGACGGCATATAGGCTGCCAAGGCAGGCAGATAGTGCCTGAGTAATCATGAAAAGACATAACAATAAACGGTAAATTTTACATTTTACATCCTTCACAAAGACCATCACACAAGGGTCGATCCATCACAAAGGTAACGGGCATTCATCTGGTATGCAACTTGCTTTAGGTTCATAGACTTCAATTATTCAACGCAAAAGCCATCTATCGTAGTAAAATACGAATATTTATGCGTCCTTTGTTTTTACATAGCTATCTGGGTTTTTCTGTGAATATGAGTCTAATACGACATCACAGCCCTCGGATGTAATCGTCAATGACCGACCGTCCAGGTTCATCTGGTTGAAGTTGAGCGTGTTGCTGGTGACTTGGTCGATCGCCTTCCTCTTCTCGTCGTAATCAGCGGCACGAATCACCTGGTGATCTGAAAACACACAGAAGACAACTCCTGAATAGTTCGAGGCAGGCGACAGCATTAACCACAATGCAATGCCATCAGCAACCAGATCAGGCACTGAACTATCCCCTAGGAAGCTTGGCACAAACTCAGCACATCTATGTACTACTAGCTACGAAGCAAAGCCATACATGTATCTTGTCTACTCTCTGCTTTGCAAAGACACTAGAGCTCGTACTGGGGGTAAAGGAGGTATGTTAGTAGGAAGAGTTAGCCCAAGCCATTATTTGCCACCAAAATGTCATTGCAGAAGTGCACAGTACAGAACCATTTCAGCTTCGAGCAATCGACGAACCGCCTCCACACCGAGAATGCCGAGCATGAGACCGCAGAAACAGGCTGGGAAGCGAGAAAGAACCGAGAGCCACAGTACGCCACTCTGGATTAGAAGCCTTGCAAGCTCCAGTTCGCCGCCACCGCTTGGTCGTACCTTTGACGATCGTCCGTTTCAGCGAGTGGAAGCTAGTGGCCTCGTAGCCCGGCTGTGAGATCCTGTAGCGCTCGACGCGCGAGTGCGAGTGCCGCCTCTCGTCCGTGTACTCCTCCACCTCTCGGGTCACCTCTCGGCCGTCCTCGAGGCGTTTCGTCTCGCGCACGAGCCGCAGACCCGGCTCGGGTTCGGTGGACTCGCGCCGCACGGCGCTCGGGCAGCGCTCGAACAGCTGTTTGAGGTCGTCGTAGTTACCCCCAGGCGGTGGACGGCGCACGTCCAGCGCCTGAGAGGCGTCTGGGGGTGAGGGAGGAGGCGAGCTACGCCGCAGCAGCTGGTCGCTCCTAGGCAGCGCCTCACCGGGAGCGAAGTAACGCTCTGTTACGTTCTGGATTTGATCATCCAGCAGCGCGTTGGGGTCGTCCGCAGGGCGAGCGATACCATTCCGCACGACTTTGGAAGTTTTCTTGATGGGTGCTTCCGGTTCGGGCCGGTCAACTCGCCGCAGCGGCTCAGAGCGAGGCGATAGCGATCGCAGTTGGGTCGTCTTTCCCGGCACAGCCAGTCTCTCGGTACCAGTACGCTCCTCTGTAGTCCTCCGCGACGTTCGTGTCATCGAGCTGGTGTAGGTCTCTGGCGCGGAGCGCCGGTCTACAGTGTCTCGCTCATCAGGCCGGTACGGTTTGGGGGCTGTGTACTTCTCCAGCACGTCTGGTCTCCGTTCTGGGGTGGAACGTTCGTCCGACCTGGGCACCCGGGGAGGAGGGAATGTTTCCGGGAACGTCTCCGGGTACGTCCTGCGGTCCAGAGTGTGTCGGTCCTCCGAGCGGTACTCGCGAGTCACAGAGCTCGTGGTGTAATAGTCGGGCGTCGGCTCGCGACTGTCCCTCTCCTTTGGCCGGTATGTTTTGACTGTGGTGTGTCGATCGGGCGGTGACCTGTCGTCTGGGCTCTCCCACTGGTGCGTTCGATGAGTTTTGGTTGTGGTTGACGTGTATGTATCCGAGGTACTCCGAGGCTCTGGACTGTCTCGGGGACGACTTCTGTACGTCTTTGTCGTTGTGTATTTGTCTGGTGTGTATCTCGGTTCTGGGCTCTCCCGACCAGGCACTCGATGTGTCTTCGTCGAGATAAACCTTTCTGGCGTCTCCCTTTCTGGGTGATCGTTATATGGTCTCGACGGAAGCCGGCCGGGAGTGCCTCGTCGGTCCGGACTCGAGTCCGTCGACGGTGACGACCGTCTCGGCAGGACGTAATCGATCTCCGTCTCCTCCACCAGTCGTCGCGTCACCCTGGGCCGGCCCGGCAGAGGCCGAGGCGAGTCTACCTCATCCCTCCCCCTCGGCGGCATCGGACTCGTGCTCCTCCTTTCTGTCGAGCTCACATGTCTCGTACTGAGCAGTGTCTGCGAGAGCTCGTGTCTCTCCGGTCGGTACTGTACCGTATTTGAGTAGAGAGGCGGCGAGGCGGCGCGGCGCGGAGGCGAATCGCCACTCTCTGGGCTGTCGCTCCGCCTCTGCACGTGCCGCTCGTGGCGCTCCACGTGGCGCGTGTACGTGGACGTGGCTGGTGGCGAGGGTGACCTCCGGCGCGGGCTCAGGTATCGCTCCCGGGAGGTGGTGTAGTTAGGCGCCTCCGGCCGCGGCGACACACTGCGCTGGCTAGAAGAGTAGTGCTCAGTGCGTGTGGTCAGAGTCCGGACTGCCGGCGGGCTGGACGGCCGTGCCGGTTCGTGGTCTAGCCGGCTGGTGTAAGGCGAGTGATGGCGAGGACCGGCCCCGATCGAGCGCTCCAGTTTGGAGGGAGTTCCTCCCGGCGGAGGACTGGGACCCCTCCGCTCGGAGGACAGGTACCGCTCTGTCCTCGTGGTGTAGCTGGTGCTTGACGGGGGTGGACTCGTCGCTCGTGGTAGACTGGAGTACCTCGTGGTGTGTGTAGTGGTCAGTGGAGGACTCCTGCCGCGTGGGAGAGACGAAAACCTCTCCGTCTTGGTCGAGTAGCTGGAGGTGTAGTTATTGGGCGACCTCGGCCGGGGGCTGGTCGGCCGCACCTCACTGCTGATGTACCGATCTGTCCTCGAGGTGTAGTTCACTCCGGCCGGCGACGGAGACCGTGACCTTGACCCGGACCGGGACCGTGACCGTCCTGGCGGCGGCGCGCTGACGTAGTGGTCGGCGCGGGACGTGAAGTGCGGTTGCGGCGAGCGGCGGCCGACGCTGCCGTCCCGCTGCTGGCGGTACCACTCGCTCAGGTGGCGCGCGCCCTCTGGTGGCGAGAGCTGCGCGTCGGCCCGATAGCGGTACGGGTCCGCGTGTTTCGGAGTGGTCTGAAGGTGCAACCCACCTACAGACGGAGAGGCGCGTTAGTGGCCCGGTTAGAGAGACAGACACGCCCCCTCAGAGACGGAGTGGTAACGGTTAACGCTCCATCGGAACGAGTTAACAGGGTTAAACAGAGTTATCGGCTATATGAGGCTAGAGTAGTCGTTTGGTTGTCATGTTACTGAGAGTTTAATTTGATCATTTATAGATATAATTCAATATTTTCAGTTCTACAAAGGTAGAAAAATAGCGCAGCGTTATCATATATATAACGCCATAGGCCCATCCAATATATCTAATGTTTTAGCCGTGTGGGCTGTTTCATATTTTTTGGACGCAAACGGGACTAAACATCAGATTTATTATTTTTAGCAATTTAAATTGAGATAAAAGTAAGTGCCTTCTTGAATTAACCAGCATGATGTAAAATGAACACGTCATCATTACAAAAGGGGTCGTTTCAAATTCCGCCAGCCTGCAAGATTATCGCCATTGAGGACATCTAAGCATTTTGTGCGTTTTGGCTTGCTGCATTCATCCACACACAAATGTCGGATAACTTTTATCAATACACCGGTTAGCATCAGTTTATCCCCAGCACCAACCACCTCCAGCATGCAGTGTCACTTACTCTTCATCTCCTCCAGGGTGGACCTCATGAACTGGACATCCTCCTCGGGGTTTTTGACGCGCGGCGGCGGCGAGGCCTTTAGCCGGCTGTTCAGCTCGTTCAGTCGGCTGGCGTTGACTGCCGTGTTGGCAGACCGCTTGGTGATGGAGTGCTTGCCGTTCTTGTCGACACGGAGTTTGAATGGACATCCTGTCGGTAGGAGAACGGGTGATGACATTGACAATGTGTTTTAATCACACCATCTTAAAAAGCCTGTCTAGACGCGAAAGACTGCATTGGGAAAAGCTCATGTAGTTTCAGAACGACTACATGTTGAATACACACGCATTTTATTTCAGCTTACCCATCCTATGACCCAAATTCAATCCTTCCACCACTTTAACTTTTTTATCACATACGAACCTTTGATCTCCACACCGTTGAAGTAGATATAGACGCGGTATTTTCCGTACTCGGGTGGCGTGACCGTGACTCGGTACATCTCCTTCTCAATCTCTGTGACCGTGTGGTGGAGCGAGCGCTGCTCCCAGACGATGTCAGTCTTCACCTCACCCCAGCCGGCGTCTCGGGCGTCCACGATAAATGTGAACGGCCGTCCCGGCTCGGTACCCTCCAGCTCTCCCACCTAGCCGGGGAGGTCGGGGTGGTCAGTCGTCAGCAGTGGTCAGTTTCGGTCAGTTCCGCTGTCAAGAGTACTAAGCATCGATGGTCATTGGTCAGTGGTACGATCAGCAGGGGTCGAACAAAGCGGTTACCGCGAGCGGCAGAAATATGCGTTGATGGGGACTTCAAGGCAGCTTAATGATACATCATCGGTGAAACTTTGATGCTCAAGACTTTCGAGATGGGCCGTTTCGGTGAAGGACGAATGACGTTGATCATTTTTTATCGTAAAAATATAGCAAAGCGTTGTAAAAGGTCATGCGAGAAACAAACATCAATCTCACACTCTTTTTGCCAAAGGTTACAGCCGATCCACACATGAAACTCCAGTCCAAACCCATCTCGTTCTCCAGCCACCCACCCGAACGGCGTGCGGGTCGTAGACGAAGCAGTTGAAGGGCGATCCCTGGATGTGTTGTCCCTCGTAGGTGACGTGGATCTTCCACTCGCCGACCTCGTCCGGCTGAAACTTGGCCGAGTAGACGCCGTCCGTGCACGAAACGGGACAGTCGAGGGGCCGGTGCAGCGGCGAGTAGGCCGTCACGATGATCCGGCCGTCACTCGCCTCCGACGGGTTTATCTGAGAGAAGGGAGACAGGCCATGATATAGGTCAAATAGAGCGAGAGGATGCAGCACAAATTTAATTATGCTGTACGCACAAATTAATACCATGACGAAATTCATCTCCAGACGAAAGAAAGACGCACGCTGCCGCCTGTTGGCTACTTTAAATGTGCGTTTGAAAAGATTATATTTTTATCACGGCGATAGGGAAGCATTCTAAGTTCAAAGCCGCCCTGTTACGGATACACGCCCATTCTTTGCCCTACCTGATATGAATTTTGGCCGCTACTTACCAGCACCTCGACGGTGGAGCCAAGCGCGCAGGGGTCGATCCCGGACGGCCGGGGCTGGAGGCTGATGAGCGGTACGGCACGCACGCTGAACGGACACCCCTCCACCAGCTCCTTCTCGTGGTAAACCCGTACCTTTGAGACGTCACAGACAGCGTGAATTAGACATACACTGTGTGTAGACCAGCGCGTTTGGAACGGAACTTGGTAGACTCGTCAAAAGGTTGGGCGTAAGTACGATTACACAGCGACACAGGCATTGGACAAGTTTTTGTTAGATCGGTGATATAGCAGACGATTATTGTGGTGGATTTCATGTCATGAAAATGTCATATCTATCTATCATAGCTCGGCATTTCTGGCGAGCGACCCTCTTCGTTGATTGTGTTTCTCTTTCTCTTTTTTTTCTCTTTTTGTTGGGTTAGGCCCTTTCGGTCGTCAAGACCATTGCAGAGCCGGAAGGATGATAGGAATTAGGGGGAGACATTGGTCTGGGCAGGCACCCTAGTGAGTCGCCGGGGCTGAGCCCGTCCAGAGGACAGGCCACCCAGCCCCAAGGCACTCACTGCACCCGGCTACGGGGTGCGCTCCCTCGGGAGCAGCGGTGCCGCTCCAAGGGAGCAGCCCGCATGAGATAAAGTTGCCTGTCCAGCCCGGAAGGGGGTTGCGGCGTGGAGGAGAAGGATTTCAGTATCCTGAGGATAGAAGCACGGAACGGTGAGTTGATTGTGTGAAGCAAGTCAACACAAAAATGGCCGAACAGGAAACTTGTTATCGAGTTTTGCACAGACCAGAACCGGTCCCTAATCACAATCATCAGATGCTTGGGCAACTCATAACGGCACTCCGCACAAAACACACATGACGTAATCGGAGCACAGAACAAAGCCACCACGGACGGAGCGCTGCTGGCGGTGGTCTCAGGTCTCACGGTACATCGGGCTAAGCCCGTTAGAGGAGGCTCCCCGCCGCCGACTGACCGGGCTGGTCATGGGTGGGCTGGCATTGTTCCACTGGTATGTAGCTAGTCTTCCCATCAGGAGATGGCATATCATCCTCACGTCAGACCTCAGTATCAGACCATCAGTATCAGCAGGATGTTCCGTGGTCGGACGATGATCTGTGGTTCACGGTGCATTCGCAAGCAAAGATGGTGGCTCACTTCGTGCTACTTGATGCGTGTTTATAGAAGCTCCTTGCCTGCTCTGTTAGCACGCCCATATAACGTACAGTCTGCGACATGCAGCGCTCCCGGTATGCATTGTCGTGCACTATGGGAGGATTAAGAGCTAATTCATAACTTCTGTCTTCCAGCTCAAGAATGACACTGATTCCTTTATGGTGTCTTTCAGCGATAATTTACCTACCTACGTTCCCTAGCCTCTCTTACACCTCACTTGGCATTGTTCTATGTTTTCATCTCTCGCCTCACACTAAGAACAGATACTGTCTTAGAGTCTCCTATTTCACCTTACCGCCCCGTTATTTCACCTAATGCATCCCCTGTCTCACCTGGTGTTGTCCCATAACATCCGGTGTGAAGCTGCACGTGATACCCGTGTCGTCCGGCCGCGTCTGTACACGAGAGGTCCTGGAGCCGGGCCCAAGCACGTCCAGCCGCAGCTCCGAGGGGTCCACCGGAGCACCGTCAAACTCCAGACGGAAGTTCACCTAGAGACGGAGGTCAAGAAAGCGCACACGTTGGGTCAGAGTTAGACCTACATACACTCGCTCATTAAAGACACATTCGCTACGCTCCAAGAGTAAATGTTTCCTCTTTACAGTATTGGAAGATCGTAAGCTAAGTTAACATCGAACTATAGTTCGTTTTTTTTCGAAAGGACGCTGGCTCCAAGTATGTTTTTCGAACAAGCACGTGTTTTAGCGAGCAAAACGAGCAAAAACTGAACCTAATTAGATAAATAAAAAATACATTGTTATCACGTTGGTTTGATAAAGGCCAGTGGCCGAAAGCTCACCGTTTTTTTAAATATGTTATTCGGCTTTTTACATTTTTGATGTCGAGGAAAAGGTCAACTTCTTTTATTTATCTAATTATATTCAATATGTTCCTCGCTCGAGCACTTAGTAATATTACCAATCTAAAAACTGAACCTGAGAAAATCGAACGTCGACTAATTTTAACATGTGATTTCTTCCCGATAGTTTCCATATGTGCGTTTTGGAACTATAGATGAGAACAGTGGTGACGTCATACTGTCGAACATGTATTGCAATGTAACTTATAACTATCATGGACGGAACTGCTTACTCGATTATAAGCTCGGCAACAGTGAAAAACTAAGTTTCACCCAAATTCGTTGACACTTGTCCCATTGCACGGACATTTGGGTGCCTGCTGCCACCAGTGACGTCATCATAGTATGTTCATTTTTAAGAAACAATTTCCAGCTACTTACCGTGCACAATTTGAAATCGGTTATTTTTTCGGCAAGAAATTCTTCGCCAGACACTGAAGCTGCCAAAACTCACGTGAGAGCTTCGATATTGAACTTTGAGCCAGCGCCCTTTTGAAAAAAAACGAACTATAGCTTCAAGCAACATGTTCTCAATCTCGATCATCAACCAGAATTTGATGAGAAACTGCCTAGCTATCTAGTATCTAGCATTCAGGCACACACCCAAGCATAGCATCTTCCCCTTCAAATATAGAAAAACACAATTCTAACGAATAGTGTTTGTCTAATGAAACAACAACTTGCGGTTATCCACTCAAGCTCACAGACCCACTTGTCGAGCCCTCCCACTGCGGCCAGCCCTCACACACACACACCTGATCGCCAACCCGGATGGCCTTGGTGGTACAGGAGGCGCGCAGCTGGTTCTGTGACACCTCCTTCCGCGGCAGCCACATGTAGCGCGCCACGTACGACATGGGCGCGATGTAGTCCACCTCGGGGTCAGCCAGGTCACGGGCCGTCAGCGGAGGGGGTGGGACGCCCAGCCGCTTACCGGCGTCCACCGCTGTGGGGAGGGGCGAGGGAGGGGGTAGTGTTAAGGCCGAGCGGTTGGAATGTGGAGGCACTGATGTGGGGATATGTCATTTGATGAAAGCATTGTACCTTGTCATACACCATGTGATAGCAAAGTAGGTACTAACGGACGATGGCTTAAAATGAGCGGAACACTATCTGTGAACTATAGGGCAAGCTATCGATTTCATGCTGCTAATACGCCTATTTCAAAGCAGAATCTAATAAAAGATGCAATGCGATAGCTTCCATTGTAGATTGCCCGAACAAGGAAGAAAGGTGTGGTGTTTAATGGGATCTGGGAAGGAATTTTTAGCAACGTTTCTGATCGGATCAAGGCTATAATGGAAGCCGGACGCGGGTCTGGAGTCCGTCTGGTGTGCAGGAGAAAGTAGCAATGGAGCAGAGGTAGCAAACAGATAAATCAGGAACCGTTAGCCGAACTGCTATCACTAGGGCGTCGGCCGTCTGAGACTCGACACTCGGCAGCCGCCCCGGACCGGTTGTGAACGATACAGATGAACGGTGAACTACCCTCTGAACGGCGAAATGCAACGGTTGACAAAGGTTGCTGAGGCATGCACCGTTAGTGTAACAAAAAGGGTACCGTTTTATGAGAATGTATCGGCGGGAGGGTTTGCAGAATAGCGGTGGGGGACACTAAAAAGAGAAGATGAAACCAGCGGCGAATATGTGTTATAAATAGTCGTAACAATAAAAATGATTTCATTTTATTGACTGACACGAGGAGGGACACATTGATATCGTAAGAAGCATAACAAAAAAAGATACAATTCTTTTCTTACTTTTCTAGAATCCGTCCTCATACATAGACTCTCACCCTTCGGAATGCCATACCTACTCCTAGCCCTCTCACCTTTTTGGATGTTGTCCTCCCAGTTGTCAGGACGACGGCTGAGGTTCTCAGGCGGCGGAAGACGACCTCCGTGGTTCTTCACCAGCTTGTTCAGCTTGACACCGTCGTTCCAGTCGGACTGTGGAAGCGATAAGAGGCGAGTGAACACTCAGAGGGACAAGCGTACGGATGATTCATAAGCCCTGTGAGCGCATGCAGCGATGAAAACCTAGCTGATTAGCCAGAAGTATTCTGCCTATCATTGTAACTCATATGTTGTGTACTTAATATAATCGATAGGAACTGTGCTCCACGAGTGGCGATGTGATCGTGCGAGGTTCGCTCAGTCTGAGGGTACACGATTCCTTCGAGATAGTCGCAATAAAGTGATGCGTTAATGTGATTCCACGTACTTACGTTTTAATTACAATGCAGCCGTGTCGTAAAATCATTGATACAACGCACTAGCCAGCGTAAAACCATATGACTGTATCCCAGCACGTTACCAATGAACGGGTACAGCAATATCAAACAGGTCATTCAACAGTGGGATCAGTTACTTCTGAGAAACGTCTGCCCAAACCATATAGAGCAGACTTTGTGAAACTGGGACGCGTTTGGACTTGGCTGACGCCGTGCGAGATGTTGCAGTACGTACCGTGAAGTTGTTGATGCGCTCATCAGGAAGCTCTCGCCGCACCCAGTCCAGTGTCGACTTGTAGCCGGGTCCGTCCTTGTTCATGAAGTAGGACAGGTACGTCATACCTGCGGGGCACAGAGGCGAGGTCAGTCATGGTGTGAATGGTGATACAGGATCCACGGAGTCAGAGAAACTGGTCAGTTACGGGTGCTGTGCATCATAACGCCTATTTAACACGCGCAGTGGAAGGGTTGCGAGTACTACGCCCAGTGGAAGGGGGGGGCGGATGTCGCCCCCCCCCCCCCCTAAGATCTCAGCTCCCACTGGAGCTAGAAAGACGAAATTTGGAGGGTAGGTGGGGGCCATGGGGAACTCTGTTGTGTGTGAATTTCATGACCCTAGGTCAATAGCTTCAAGGTCAAATGAGGTCAAATGTGGTCAAATCTGCCATATGAGCGACTTTTTTGCGTTTACACGCCGATAACTCAAAAAGTTACCGGCCGAATTTTTTTAATCTTTCGCTATACGAAAGAACAAACATTTTTGAGTATGTATGGTGAATCTCTAGATAATCCAACAATAAATATGGCAGTTAGAAGCCTGCTAAGGGTAAGATGTCGACGGCTGAAGCGGCATCGGCCGACGCGGGAAACGCGGCAATCACAATTTTGTGTTTACACACTCATAACTCAAGTTGTTACCGGCCGATTTTCAAAATTATTTGACCATATGATTGCCTGTACATTTCTCAGTCTTCTTACCGAATTTGACGCGAATCTAATATAGTCAGCGGTAAGGAGCGCGATGTAAAGACGGAACCGTCCCGCCCCGGCACAGTCTACAATTCAGGCGGCGCGTAACGGCTAGCGCCGGCCGCCGCGCCGCCGCGCCGCGGCGGCGGCAGGATGTTTGACTTTACACCGCTATTACTAGAAAAGTTGTGAACCGATTTCCTTACTTTTTGCACGAGAAGATCCGCAATTCAATTCTGGACAGGTAGCCGAAATTTCACATTGATATTATGCTCGCGGCGCGAGTTATTGGCGAAAAACAGGAGGGGTGGGCGAAATCCACCCCCCCCCCCCTTCCACTGCGCGTGTTAAAGGGACCCTCCCACCTTCAAAAAAGTTAATGAATTGGCATGAAAGTGATGTCGCTCGGTTCAGAAAGAGCGAAAACGAATATGTACCAAATTTCATCGAAAAATATTCACCGGTTTTCAAGATATTAGACTTTTACTTTTGTTTACTTTTTGGGATCTCCGCTGTTCCTAGCGACTTTATTTGAAAGTGCGGCATTTGTTGCGCGCAAAGCAGCATATACCACCGCGTGCTACCAAACGTTTTAGTAAAAGATTTAAAAACTGTTAGACCTCCGCTGACGTCACAAATTCTAAGGGGGCATGCCAATGCATTAGCCCCTTAGAATCCGAAAACTGCAAGTTTGAAATTCCATATCTCCGAATTAAAGCATTTTTCGATGTTGTGAGTGCCCAAACCGGTATTTTCAGGCCATGGCCACCAATTTGGCTATCTCAACTCAAAACTAATGTTAAGGTGGGATGGTCACTTTAAGTGATTAAACTACAGAAGACCTTAGCTACAGCAGAAAACATGAAAAGAAGCGAGAAGTAAAAATAGGTGTCTGATCAATAGATATCGGTGTATCATTTTGGAGACTGCAATCATGCAAGTAAAAATCACATCGGCATGAAAATGATACATGGATTGTTTTACATCGAAAAGCAACGACCCGAAAACCGTTGATTTTCAGCAAAAGATTGCAAGTAATGCAGTTGAGCCTCACATATCTCGTGGAAAACGGTACCGTTTTGCTTAACCCATGAGATTCTTAGACCGCTAAACGTCAGTAAGTGACGCATAAATTAATCAGCATACCCATCAAAACGCCTGTAATTTCCCTCACTTTGCGGTACCTCTCACAGTTCACATCATTGCCTATGACTGAAGCCTCTCACGTCTGGCAGCTCCATGAATAACGTGTCGTTGGCAGGAGCGACGTGACCTTGACGGGCGCTGAACACAGTGGCCCTTAACCCGGTGACCCAGCTCTCATAAATCGTCCCGGTGGGCCCACAGGCTCCTGTGCGTTCCGAGCCGACCTCGATAAATTCGGTCTCGTGCCGTCCGCGCTGGGTATGGTTAGCATAATGACCGGGATTATCATTGTTGTTGCTATGGTTGGGGAGGTGCGTGGGAGCACATGACGGATGTTTCTTTATTGGAGGGGAGGTCTGGAAGATTAAAATGTTGTCGTGTTTGGAGAGGCCGGATATTCAGAAGACAATGCAAATAATGCAATAAGTTTCCATAAAATACGGTTGCTTAGAAACAACTTCAAGAACATGTGACGACTGAGCATTTCCAGGTCGGCAGATAACTATTGTTTTGTTCTCATGGCGCGTGCATTATTGCTAAGGAATATAAATTGCAATTATACCGATTGAGTCGGATAAGGGCTTCGGGTACAGCCATGAGTTCGACAGTCAACATTCTGATCTTCTCTGTGTTCATATCTGTAGTATATTGACAATAACTGACATTGAACTATGTGAGGATATCTGAATGAATCTCCTGGTCGGAACGTTTGAAATTTGAATAGCAGGAATGACAAATAAAAAGCATAGGCATAACGAAAGCACTGCAGGCCAGAAATGGCCAGAATTCGTGGTCATACGTGGACTTGAAGTCGGACCATGACAAACCTTACCATACGAGTACACGCAGTGCCTATAGCGTATAGGATCAGACACACGGTCCGCTCCGACCGGAACTCAACGGCAAACTCCCCATCAGAGCAGAAACTATGAGGTAATCTGCCCGTTTAAACTGCACCAATGACCCCACTCAAAAGTTCCTAGCCCTTTGCCAGCATGCGATCGGAGCATAACAGCAGCACCGGCGCGAATCTTATCACCGATTCCTCTGCGAATATGCAAAGTCCACATCTTGTACTCCGTTTTGATGAGGGCGCAATCACCGGCCGCCGGGGCTTCCCACATTTTGGCTGTGATATGCTCTTATGGCATGATGGCATGGCTATCATGATGTTGCAAACATATTGTATCGGCTTATTAACTGCACCGGTTACCAATGTTACTCTTGGTTTGCTATGTAATGTAACATCTTTCACTCGCATTGCGAATTGAAATGTTTATTATTTTGTGAAATGTGGCAGATCAAAAACGCATCATACGTACGACATGATTATGTAACATATGCACGAAATTTGCAAAATCAGAGTGCATCTTGGATTCTGTGCTAACCTGACAGTTCGTCGATATACGGGGACGACAGGTACTCTGGATCCAGCACCGTCGGGATGCCGAAGTGCTTCTTGGCGAGGGTCATCGCAGTACGGTTATTTTCCACGCTGCAATGACGGATGCATGGTAAGTCAGGTGGAACAAATAAGACGCATCCGGCACCAGGCTCACCTATGCAGTATTTGACACAGGAAAAGCACTGTACATGTAGTCGGAGCGTGCATTCGTTGATCGGACAGAGCTTTTTCGGTAATGTCATCATGACGATTAGTTGTGTCATTTTACTAGATTTGTTGAAAAAGTGACGTAGGCCTGTTTCACTAACAAATAAAGTGTGTAATTACAAAGAAAAAACTTGAGTTTAAAAGAAATAATTACCAACATTTGAAATTTGGATTTCACGAAGCCTTCGGGCATGAATTTTGAGTTTAAAATTTACCAACTTTTTTACAAGAAAAAAGTTTGTAAGAAACATCGAAATCGCAAACTTTCTGTTTCACGAAGACCAAAAACTTGAAAGAAAACGTTGTACTTACAAACCCGAAATTCCAGTGGCCCTTACGTTTGGAATTTTATTACTTTTTGTACAATGATGCAAAGCAATCAATTATTCAAAACAAATATGATATGCTGAGTCATTATATGCTCTTTTTTACTTAGCACAATCCCTACGAACCAGCTACGAGCAATAAATAAATATCGTCATGTTTTGTCATTCGCGCGCCATAATTGCATTCAACAGTCTTCTGCTGTCAAATGTTTTGCGTGTTATTTTCTTTCAATAATAAGATATTGTTAACTATCATTTATACCATTCAGAAACAGCATCATTATTTCTAATTTATTCCTGCAATTTCTGACCTGAATACTAGACATAGTTGCATAAAAAGAAGCAATATCTGTAACATGTTATAGTTCTTGATTACAAATAATTTTACTGTTTACAAGTTTATTTACCAACTCTTTTTATCGGAGGTGCCGCTGGTGATGAAGTTTAGTGAAATCCGATTTTACATAGTTTGCAAAAATACTTATGAATTGTAAAGTTCAAACACTTGCAATCGCAAGCTTTTAGTGAAACAGGCCTCTGAACTAAACAGTCATGCATTTTGCTCGTGTCCTTTATTAAATTGTTAGATACGTACCCCTTGGTAGGATCGAGGTTCTGCCAGTTAGGTGCCAGGCCCGGCTTGCAGTAGTCGACCAGGGCGTTCAGATTCACACCGTTATTCCAGTCGGTGGTGAAATTACTGACTTTGCAGTCGGGCAGCACACCCTGGAAACGAGAGAAAAATGTAAATGTTTTCATATAGGCATGACAAATCCTCTCGTACAAATGCAAGGACACATGCAAATGCGTTTTGAATGTGAGCGTCACGTTTCATGCCTGCAGGTATAGCATCTTTCTTCGATTTAATACTATAAAAAACTCTTACCTACATCCCTTTCCATTATCCCCCACTCCAGCTCTCTCTCTCTCTCTCTCTCTCTCTCTCTCTCTCTCTCTCTCTCTCTCTCTCTCTCTCTCTCTCTCTCTCTCTCTCTCTCTCTCTCTCTCTCTCTCTCTCTCTCTCTCTCTCTCGCTCTCTCTCTCGCTCTCTCTCTCGCTCTCTCTCTCGCTCTCTCTCTCTCGCTCTCTCTCTCGCTCTCTCTCTCGCTCTCTCTCGCTCTCTCTCTCGCTCTCTCTCTCGCTCTCTCTCTCTCGCTCTCTCTCTCGCTCTCTCTCTCGCTCTCTCTCTCGCTCTCTCTCTCGCTCTCTCTCTCGCTCTCTCTCTCGCTCTCTCTCTCGCTCTCTCTCTCGCTCTCTCTCTCGCTCTCTCTCTCGCTCTCTCTCTCTCTCGCTCTCTCTCTCTCGCTCTCTCTCTCGCTCTCTCTCGCTCTCTCTCTCGTTCTGTCTCGCTCTCTCTCTTTCTCCCTCTCTCTATCTTTCCTTCCCTCTCCTCTCTTTCCCCTCTTTACAACAACAAAGAGCCACGTATGTGACTCACTCGCCGTTAGCGCGATATGACCACTATGACTCAGTTCCGCGGCGTTCTGTATAGCCAATGTTCCGCCACACCACAAGGAATGCGAGGGGTCCGTTCAGCTACTGCAGGGTGCGTTGTGGTGGTCTCTTGGGGCTACACCGGATCGAAGGTGGGAGAGAGAACCATGGAGAAATGTTCGACCTCAAGCGCCAGGGAATAGGGGAAAGAATGAAAATTAGCTATCCCTAGGCATAGGCATTGACTGAAAATCGATTTGCGTTAGATAGGCATATCTTAATCTAGAATCTAGATAATTCATCGAAAATTGAAACGTTATAGACGGCGCATGAAACGATTCACATTTTTTAGGATGGTGAATGGTTTTCCACCAAACAGACACTACCGGAAGTCTGTTCCAAATATCTTCTTCGCTCTGGATGCGCTATCAAGCATGAAAGACAATAGCCCACTTCCGTAAATACATGTATATGATATTGACCGTTGAACTATAGCTGGGGCTAAATAAAACAAACTACAAAGATAGTTTACGTGGGCTCTGCCACTTTTGATAGATGGTCGGGCATCGCAACTTCCAATAATATTACATCGTACTGTCCACATGCCAATCGACGGCTGTAGTCTATGGCGAGTAAAGTCGGTAATGGACAGTTGCAAGTAACGACGCACTTGAAGATCATGATAGACCAAGTTGTCAACGAAATGAATGGCCGCAGCACTTAAACCTCTTTTCTAACACTTTTCAAGCGCCCGGAAATCAGCGTTCAATCGCACATTCCTGGTAGGTATCCTCCCTGTCTATCAATTTCCCACACTCTCTCCAGCTTCCACCTCCCGTTCTCTGCCGAGGTGTCTCTCCCACGCTCCCGGCTCTCTGCAATCGTCCCCCCCCCCCCCCCCGTGAAGGAATTCTGAATGCTCGTCAGCAGGCAGCCCGGGGAAGTATGCTGCAGCGCTAAACCGGTTCCTTTCCTCCCTCCCTCCCCCACTGCAACGCCATGTTCATCGACTGTGTTTGATTTCGCCGCGCCTACCAACCTCCCCTCGCACGAAGCCAGCGAGTGGCCTCGCGATGTCGGCGGTCGGCCCATCGCCGTTGACCCCTGGCCGTCGTGTCACCGGCACGAGCCCCCTCCTCTGCGACGTCCAGCTACAATGGGGTCCGCCGAGCGGCGGCGCATTGCCCAACAGGCCCAGTGACCCGCGTGACCTTGAGGGCCGCCGCGGCCGGCCGGCCGGCTCCGACCCCGCTCCGGTGACGTCACGGGCGGTGGGCGGCCGCCGACCGACCGGCCGGCTGTCTGTCGGGCGAATCGGTCCGCTCGGCCCGGCGAGCTGCCGAGCTCGGCTGAGCTCAGTGCCGGTAGCTGCAGCCTGCAGCTGAGCTTCAGAGGGCTGCTCAGTGCTTACGGCTGTGAGCTTACTCGTTCGACTGTTCAAAGTTCTAACTAACTAGGTAGAGAAGATGAGGAGATGGGAAGAGGGACTGGGAACACAAAGGTCCACATCGTGATGATGTCATTAATCACAGCTGGATTATCGGCAATAACTGTTGGGTCATTAACGCCGTCGTGTGCCGATGAGATATGACCGGGAGAGATAATGAAAAACCGATACCTACAATGATAATGAAGCGATAGGAAGGCTAAGACATGTTGAAAATAGCTCAGCTTGACCGATCCTGATAAACGTTATTCACTTTACATCTGTGTGCGACATAACATGCCGCAGAGTTGCTCACAGAGGTGAAAAAAACCGGCTACTCGCCTGCGTGCGTAGGTGACAGCCATAGGAATAAGGAGACAGATTCGAGCATCTTAGTTAATGCACCTAAAATTGATAACTAGGCCGTTTCCGCTAAAATCAGAGCTGTCTTCCCATAGAGAGCCACTATGAACCACGGCACAAAAATTTAACAGCGTCATCTCTTTGTAGACAGCTGGGGCTGAAAAATCCCGCCGGTGCGACAGCCGGTGCGTTGTGAATCGCCATAGACAACGCAGGAAAAACGGCGACAGCGCGACAGCTCGTCCCCGCTCGTCGCCGGTTGAGCGGTGGCGGGGACCGGCGCGGCCTTGGCCACCGCTGGAGTAGGGGAGGACCGGACGACTGGGACGGGGGACGTCACATCTGGGCCACAACTGGGGTGAGGTCCATGACCATCGGCCCCAGAAACTTTGTAGGAGCGTTGATAATTGGTTCTGACTACTGAAGCAAAGGCAAGTGAATCAGTGACAAAACTGACAATCCTTTCGTGAGTTCTGATTGAACTGGATCTGGAAGCCAGGAGCCAGGAGGAGCTAGAAAGTCGATCAGACCTTTAGGTAAGTTGGAAGAAAGTGATTGATTTTTTGTTGTTGTGTCACTGAAATGTGGTGATGCGTTGTAATGCCCAGAGGCCGAAATTTGGCCTTCAAAGGTGATGAGAAAACGAAAAAAAAGGTACCTACTGTTTCAAGATGACTTGTAAAAAATTCGTGACAGCTAGACATCGCGTAGGTGACAGCTTTTGAGTTTTATTCACCTCTGGTTGCTCATTTTACGATGTTTTCCGCTGGAGGACACGGCGCTTCGTGCGTGCGTGTGTGTGTGCGCGCGTTATGGCGCCGTGACAAATTATAAACGCCTCTGAATGCGAGTTCGCGTGGCGTGTCGTAAGCCACTGTAAAGCTGGTAAAACCGGCATCCGCGCAGCTATATTTGAACTGGCACCCAACACCTGGCACCTGATAGGCCTGGCAGATCCGGGGACAACTCATTGATCGTCACCAACTCTTCTTAGTGTCAAATCGTTCAACATTTTGCGTCGGTTTCGTCCCTCGCAACATAACAGATGGATGGCTAATGACAATATTTCGAAATGAATGGTCTGTAGATTGTAGAAGCAAGAAAAGAGGTAAAAAGCTAGCATAATTGGCATTCAAATAATGTTCCATGCCTAGTCACTTGTTTTTGGTCGGAGGATGCGCACCTTTTTGACACGGTAAATAAGCGACGAAGCCACGTCGGTAAATAAAACTGTTTACGGGTGCTCGTTGCATGGTGAGTTAAGTGCTAGTGATTTGTGCTTGGGATAAAAAGATGAATAGAATTGAATGTAGCAGGCGCAATTTTAATCATAAACCTACGACATCCCGCCCAAATTGCATGGTAAATTAAGTGCCAGTGATTTGTGCTTGGGGTAAAAGGGTGAAAAGAATTGAATGTAGCAGGCGCAATTTTAATCATAAACCTACGACATCCCGCCCAAATGAGAAACCTGCGGTGGTTGGCGAGGCGGTAGCTTGTATTAGCCCACAAATCTTCCCGCTTTAATATTGCTTGCAAAAGATGGGTGCATGGGATTAAGAGCGATCTCCCCGTGGAAGCATAAGTCCCACGGCCCTCTTTTGACGAAGAGTCCCTGACGGCTGGCACGACAGTGTTGTATCGACGCCATTAACTATGGAGAAGTGCCTACCCACTACGTGCCTGGCAAGCTAACCAAACAGCCAGGCTAACCAAGCTACCCACTAGCGCCTCAGTGTGGCCGCTTCTTGCGCCGGCGGGGAGTGTTGTCCGACCTTTTTCCAGCCGTGACCGGGCTCCGGCTCCAGCTCCGGCTCCGGCTGAGGCTCCGGCTCCGGTCCGCCATCAGCCGCCTCACGGGCCTGTTTTGCCGGTCGGGGATAGCAGCAGTGCACTCTTCTCTAACGACCGGCTTGCGCAGGTATGCAGCCGGTCGGCCGGCGCCGCCGACACGGGGTCACAGCCGGCACAGAGAGGTCACAGCCAGCACCGCTGCAGAAATCCTGGGGGGAGACGGATGTGCCTGGAGCTGCACCCGGACGCAGAAGGCATAAATAAGTGATTGATAAGTTGACTATAGCTTCGGTAACAGCAACGGAACTGACACCGCGGTGAAACTGAAGCCTGAGCTGTGCTATTCCGTGTATTGATCGTCTGCTTATTAAACTTCACTGAATAATTTTCGGAACAATGTTGCTGAGGCAACGCTGCCTATACGGTTTATATAACAAGTTGGTCAGTGTCTTTTTTATCAAGACAGCAGAGGAGATGCAGTGTATGAACAGAGCCGTGTTGTTTATTGGCCAGCATGACACCGTCTCAGTATCCGATTAGTCGGAAAACTGATCGTGTCATGTGAAACCATTAATTACCGCCGACGGCGAATGTCCCGAGGGTGTCGGGTCGAGATGAAATGTGAGATGGCCACCAGACGGATCAGGCCGTCGGGAGATGGTCTGGGCAGATACCGAGCAGGATAGAGCGTGGAAAGAGGGAGAGAGGAGGACAGAGAGAGAGAGAGAGAGAGAGAGAGAGAGAGAGAGAGAGAGAGAGAGAGAGAGAGAGAGAGAGGCGAAGGAAGGTGAGCGCTGGTGAGTGATGGGGGCTCAAAGTTATCGTCCCAGCACGCAGCGTCCGCCCAGCCGCCGTATATACGTTCGGCCAGTGTTTACCTCAGAGCTGCTGCTACGTATTCTATAGCCGCGCGAAGGTGAAACCGCCGTCCCAGAATAACGTACACAAGGCTTGCGTATTCTGGCTCAGATAGTCGAAAATGGGTCCAGGAGATAATAGTTTATTGGAATATGTGATTACTGATTTTAAGTCTGATATTATCATTTCATTTTTGAATGATACCGTCCTTTATTTGTTCGATCCTCCGGCTTTGAACTGCAAAGAAGATTGCCGATGCAGTGGCTCACCTGCAGCCAGGAGAGCATGAGCTTCTTGGGCGGGAACTTGGACTGGCCGATCTGGTACTTCATGATGAGACTCCAGATGAGGCCCAGGATCAGCTTCTGGTTTCCGTTTACTATGTCCACGTTTCCTGGAAAGCAGCACAGCAAAAGTGAGCATGATGCAGAAGAATCTTATCCAATATCGTGCATGGAACAGCACACCGCCTAAATCACAGAAATACCAACACGTGAACCACAGGGTAATGATTACCCCACCATACCGTGAGCCCCATTCCCATTCCGGACGAGCGTTGGATCAGCGGCCAGCCCCCATTCCCTGCATTCCTCCGCCCGCCGCGCCGGCGGCAGAGGTGGCCCTGTCACGAGGTAGCGGCCGTTGGACATTCCCCGCACGTCCCCGCGATGGCGACATAGCCTCTTCAGCCGGGGTGAGGTCATCACTACTGACGACCAAACAGCCCCGAAGGACGGGCTGTTTGCAGTTTATAGAACTGTGTCAACGAATAATTTTGTCCATTTCTACATCCTTGTAATTCTTTCTTTTTGCCCATTAATAAAGCACTCTTAACAGGTTATGCAATTAGCGCTAAATAAAGAAACGTTATTTTATATGTAAACTACCTCATATACCAATTGCAAGACGTCAGGATTCTGACTTCTCGCGTATGACAGACACCTCGAACGCATAGAATGTCTGCAGATTGGACCTATGCTGCACGCACTAGCCCATTTGTTATCGAATGCACGACCGAGTGAAGGAGCCGGCCGTAATTACGGGTGATGAAACACGTTTAATGAATCGTCCAGCTAAAGACTGGTCGTCGCTCTTGCTCAACATGTCCATTATATGACGGTGAAGACATGGAACGCTGGAAAGATCCGAGGGCGGCAGAGTACGAAGTGTGGTTACGAGTCACCAAACATCTGCCCCATGTCAATCAGCCGAGGTATGATATGTCAATTGCGCTTGATACCTTCAGCTAGACGCAGAATGTTGCGTATAATTCAAATGTCACGCATCTTCGGAAAATTTGGTAAGAAAAACACTTCCTTTGGATGTTTATTGTTACCAATTCGAACTACGAAATCATTTGATAACAAGCGGATATACAGCAGTTGCGTCATCCGAATAAACAGCCATTAGTGGTTAATTAGACAGATGCATTCGTTGGGCAGATTACTCAATTTGTGGCTTAAAGGTCAGGCCAAGCAGACGGGGAACACGTCAAAGTTAATAAGGTGCTATTATTTCCTCCAAATAGCACATTAGAACCGAACCTACAACTAGAGGTGAGGCAATACATCATTGGGAATGGACGAGCCAACACGACTCAAGAATCGCAGTCATCATCATACGTTTAAACTAAACCAGTGTGGCCATTGTGCTCACGATACGGTGTCGGAACGCCAATGACTGCGCTCTTCTACAGACATACGAGCCGAGAAAAGTGAGGTTCACCTCGCACCATGTGCTCGCAAGTCACGTGACCTGACATTGCATGGCGTGATGATTTCCGATCGGGAGTGGCGGCATTTATGCCAATCCCCGGAAATGGGACCGATACATGCAACAATGGTGGTCAGATGCGGTTCACCCTGCGCAGTGCGCAGTCACGACCTTTATCTGATTCAAAGTTGAAATAACGCGAAACCTACAGGAAGGAACACTTGTCATGCTTCAGTCACATGTTCAAACTGAGGCGTATGAGACCGTTCAATGACAAATATCACACAACTAACACCAATACCTAAATACTCAGGATTGCTGTACGAACAGAAATACGAAACAAAACCGAGCAATTAAACTAAATCAATGCCTGTGGAGAACATCTTACGGGGTCAAACGAGGAACCAGCTGTGCTTACCAAGCAAAAATAACTTCTCAACGAAAATAGCCACAGTTGCTGTCACGCTGAGTGATCCAGTTCAACCCGACAGTCGGGTCTGCAGACAAGATGGTAGGTGACCTCCCGTGAGACACGGGCCATGCTACCGTCACGTTAGCTGAGCACCGAAAGGCGTGTGTGCTGACCGTCACGTTGGACGGTTTACTGGCCGACGGCAGACCGTTGCAGTGTGGTGACTCGGGGCCGTAGAAAATTGGCAGTCTATAGGGCGAACGGTGATTGATAATGCGATATTTGATGATTGACTACAGCGGAATGTTTTTTGAGCAGATACAGTGATATGTGTTAGCTACCGTTGCGAGCAAATAAAATGAACAATGAAATCAGCTAACAATATCTTGATTAGCGAAGGGCATGAATGGTCTAGGACATAAACCCCAGATGTTTTCATCAAATTCGCCAGAAGGCCTTTCACGACCTGCACGTCCCAATACGCACCATTACCAATACCTTATCACCCGCGATACGCAAGCAGAAGAGCTGAATGTCCAACCTGAATACCGACCACGCGTTTACCCTTCGCACGTCGACAGCTTTTCCATAATGTCACCCAACCGTAGCGGCCTGTCATCGCGCGGTCACTGGGCGCTGCTGAACGCCCAGTCACGGTCACGAGACACAACTCACGAGTCACGAGTCACCAGGGGCGGCTCTGCGGCACCGCTGCGGTTCGCAGAAGACTCTATGGGAAATGGAAGTGGCGCGGCCCTGTGACGAAACTGCACAGGAAGTGTGACACGCATCACCAGTCATGGGCATCGTCGCTCGGATTCTTCCCTCAGCGGAGACAACTGTCTTCAAAGCGAAAAGTGACAAAGTCGTTATGCTAATGCTGCACGTTAAGCTAACTGTTCTTTAATGAGTTACACATTGCTATGCAACTGGTCATCATTCACTAGCAGAGCCTACTCGAAAAGTATAGGTAACTGGTTTACTACATAAAAGATTAAAGAAACTTAAAATGATTGCTTAAGTTGGCAATACATACTTATATATAGACGTTCAACATAGTGTGAGAGTCCTCGACTGTAATATCCATATGTTCAATACACCTACATAAACACCAACGATGACCATGCTATATAGGAAAAGTCTGTCCAAATTTATGACACATTTGAAAGAACCTTATTGACCTTTGCCGATGTGTCATGCCCGAAGTTAACAGTTCAACAGCCGGATCGGATGAAATGTCACGTTCCAAACACAGATGAGGACATCTGTCTGACATCTGTCACAGTCAGAACTCAGACTACAGCTTTACTGGTCTGAAGTGTCACGGGTGCAGCTGGTGATATGACTTCATGATATTCACAGCAGCCACCTAGAGTTTGCTCATATCCGTGCACCAGCTGATTCCGCCACATTCCTGGACCAGACAGCTGCCACAGCTGGCCGTCCGTAATCGTCTGTACAGGAACAGATCCACAATCTGTGCGTTGGCGTCGGCAGCGGCCGGCGGTAGCTCGAAGGCGGGTCCAAGGCTGGTCCTTGCCGCCTCTGCCGAATGACCTTCCTTCGCACACTCACGCACGCACCCAGCCCGACGGCACCTGGCCGCCGCGGCTGCAGCGAGCGCGACACATTCGCCGCTAAGCTGCAGTGAGCGCGCCAGGTTCGCCACCACGGCGCTGCAGCCGCCGTTCCTGTCCCGGTCAGAAATGGCGGAACCACCGCTGCCGCCGCCGCCGCCACCGGCCGCCCCGTGCCGCCCGCTCCTTATTTGGCGGCCACTCACGTGCCAAAGTGAAAAGGGCACTTGGCGCCAGAAGTGGTTCGCAGTACCTACAGAGCATGGCACGCCAGAGGTTGAATGAGAGAGTAGTTGTGCAAGATCTGCTGCGTGTTGACTTTCTAGCAGCTTGTGGGCACGTCTTTGCGAACGGCCTTGCCCTTCTTGGTGGAATATTTACATTGGATTATATGTTTATCAGGAGAAGCAGACACTGAACTCTCTCTGAAACATTTACATTGCGATTCGATTATTTTATAAGTTAACTTGTTCTTGGCATGGCTGAACAAAACACAACTGCACTTGCAACAGTTAGCTCTTGCATAACACAATTTTGAAGCTTATCAGCTGCAAAATGGCTGACAGTACCATAAAGACAGATATGCCAACTGGCATTAGCGCCTTACGGCATGCTTTATTCTATATTTCGGCGTTGCGGAGAGAACATTCACGGGCATGATGTAACAAGACTATTCTTTCCTCAACGATAGCGGTCTAATTCACAGCTGGAAGTCACGGCTCTTGTCGGAGACTCGCGAACGTGACCGCCGATAACAGCGTGCAACAGCCATATGCCTTCAAGCAGGATATGACGGTTTTATAACCAAACATGCACCATCCGGTCTATAGCGCAACGCTTGGCATGATGTCGTACCCCTGCTGATACTTGATAGCTGACCAAGTTGAATAAAGAAAGTAACAACTACCATAGCAGGCACGTATAACGAATTTGCATCTTTGACAGCAGAAAAAAGGCGACGAAGTGCCGCACAATTTCCTTGATTTGGGTAATTGTTCCCAGAACGAAGCATCTACTCAATCAAATCTGGTAATATGTGATTGATCCGTGGCCCTTGTTCCACCGGCCTCTGTCGCTGCATACACCGTCAATTCAGCGTAAACAGGCGTCATCAAACGCAAACGACCCTCACGCACTTCAACCATCGTCACATTCATTCACTGCTAGCGCCATCCGCCCAGTAGCGTGCGTGTGTCTGCCGCACGTGCCTGTGCCCCCTCGCCCCCCCCCCCACGTTGACACAGTCCCCCCTGCACCCCACGCCCACCGCTCCTCGCGCCTCCCGTAAAGCGTTCGCCGCCGCTTTCCATTGTTGTGTTTGGCGGCGGCTGTTGCGTCACCGGACGCCCCAGCCGGGCCGGCCGGCCGGGCGGGCGCGCGGCTACTCTCCTGTGCGGCGTCGATCTCACTAGGAGACTGCAGCGGCCGCGCTAGAAAGTAGCACCGGGCGCCGCCCGCGCCGCCGCGCCGCAGTGACGGCCGTCGGCGCCGCCCGCCCGCGCGCTCGGAAAACGAAAGTGCCGCGCCGCTACACGGTGACGTCACGAGCGACGTCATAGGTCGATGGGTGGTGACGTCACTGGTTGAATCGGCGCTGGGTGAGCTGGAATGTGATGACGAATCGTGCGTTTCCGGTGAGTTGGGTGAATCTTTGAAAGGTCAAGATGCAAATTAGGCTGACGCGGCCCGCGG